CCCACTACCAGCCCTTTCTTCAACATGCTCTGAAAAAGCGATGTTGACCAGCTACCTGTAAATTTCCCATTTGTGAAAGAGTGAAGGCTGCATGCTAGGACCCTTTCTGACAGCATCTCAGCTCAGCACAGATCACTCAAACACGGCAGTGGATGCTGGAGAAGAGAACCTTCATGACATTAAAGGACAGCTAACTTTTAACTGAGGAGCTCTGGTAGCATAGTGCCTAAGGCACTTGACTGCTAACCAGAAGGCTGGCGGTTCAAACCCACCAGCCACTCCTCGGAAGGAAGGTTGGGCAATCCTACTTCCGTAGTGATACTGCCTCGGAAACCCAAGGAGGGGTCACTATGAGTCAGGGCCAACTTGACGGCAAATAACAGCAACAACTTTTAACTGAGTGCTTAATATGTCAGCAACTGGATTACATGCATTTTCTCCATTGACGCTCACAAATCCCCAAGAGGTAAGCAGAACTAATGTGTAATTTTTATCAGATGAAAAAAAAAAAAGTTAAATGCATTGCCTAACCAGAAGGCTGGTGGTTCAAACCCACCAGCCACTCCTCAGAAGGAAGGTTAGGCAATCTACTTTCAGAGTGATACCGCCTTGGAAACCCAAGGAGGGGTCGCTATGAGTTGGGACTGACTCGAGGGCAGTGACGGCCAGCAAAGTCACAGAGAGAAGTAGTAGCAAAGCTAGAACTCTAATCCTAGACTGAATGTAGAATCCAAGTTCTCAAAGAGAAGAGAGATGGGGATAAAAACAAAGGGAAACATCCCTCCCTTTCTCTTCTTTTCCTCCTCAGAGCATCCTGCTTTCCCTCCTTCATATCCAGTCCCATGTTGGTAAACATAATGATGAACCAAAAGACACAGGGAAAATAGAAAAAGGCTTTAGATTTTAACTGACAATTCTCCCTGGGCTGTTGGCCATGCAAGTAGGATGAGGAAGGGGTAGTTTTGATTTGAATTGTCAGATCTAAACAATACCTCCTAAAGTAATATTGTGAGTGGGTATGTTTGGTGGTTGGGGGAAGTAGAAGATGGGTGTGTATACACACATTTTTTAAAAGTCAACTTGTATTTGTCTTTGCACCATATTGCTACTAAAAAATGTTGCACTTATTGATCAATAATTTAATTTATATTTCCAAATACCTCCATTTTTTAAACAAAAGATTTCTTATCTGTATTATTAGAAAAGGCTAATACAACCCATATTCACTACATGAATTTGTGGTACCTAGAGAATAAAGTACAAAGTCCTTGCATTGGCTCAAAACTTTCCATAGCATAAACCCAAAATTCTCTTCCAGGTGAATTTCTCTTTGCTCCTGCTAAAGATGAACAACAAAACTTTTGTCTGAATTTATGCTCCATTATGTGAACTCTGTCCTTGAGGACGTCTCCATGAGATGGAAGTTGGACTTCATCTTTTAGATTATGGATATACAGTGAATGATTTTAAACAGCAGGCATGTTAACATTATAAATTATATTTTATAAATATAACTTTGAATTCAGTAAGTAGATGTCTCTGTAAGGAAGGACAGAGTTAAGAAATTGGTGGTGGCTAGAAAAGTTTGCAGGACTGGGAATGATTAATTTATTTTTATTATTTTTTCCAAAATACAAAATTTTTCCCAAATATTATTTTTTCCATATGAAGTCTTCAAAATCTGGTGTATATGTTACACTTATACCACATCTATATTTGTGGCATTTGTGTGTGTGTGTGTTAGTCACATGCTTTTGTTATATTGCTTTTCCCTTCACCCATATCAAACCTGTCAACTATCTTTTTCCCCTCCAATCCCTGGTAACCAACAAAGAAAATTTTCTTCCCTGTATAAACATTTCCTTGACTTTTTACAATAATGGACTCATATAATATTTGTCCTTCTGTAACCACACTTAATTCACTTAGGTCAATGTCCTCCAAGTTCATCCACATTGTGAGGTGGTTTGCTGATTCTTCATTTTTCTCTAATGTTGCATACTATTCCATTGTGTGTATGTACCATACTTTGGTTGTCGATTCATGTTTCCATCTCTTTGCTATTGTAAATAGTGCTGTGATGAATATGGGTGTGCATATATCTATTCACATCCTGAATCTCACCTCTTTAGGATATATGCCTAGTAATGAGATTGCTGGATCAAATGATATTTCGATTTCCAACTTTTTAAGGAAGTGCCATACTGTTTTCCACAGTGGGTGTACCATTTTGTAGCCCCACCACAGTGTAATCTCTCTACACCTTTGCCAGAATTTGTTGTTGGTTTCTTCTATTAACATGGTTTTTTTTTTTTTTTTTTTTTAGTTATCCATGTGAATTCATTTTCACTGTTCTATAGGATCCAGTAATAAGAAAGCACTATAATTTACTTATCCATCCCTTGATCTGTGGGCCATTTCTAAGTTTTCTGTATGACAGTGCACATCCTTGTGGATGGCTCCAGAGGTTCTCTATGTGTCATGGCCAAGGGCAGTCACTGAGGCAGAGGTGCAGGGATGCTCAGCTTGACTAGAGATTGCCTCATTGTCTTCCTAAGTGGTTCCACTCATTTAGAGCTCCAGCAGTGGAGTACGTGGGCTTCCATTTTTCCATTTGTTCCCTAACACTTGAAATTGTTAAGTTTGGCACCACATCCAAGATGAAGAATGTTAAATTGTATAATTGTTAATGAGATTGGACACCTCTTCACTTGTTCATTGTCCATTCTAGTAGCATCCTCTTTTCTGACTTGGTTATGTTTATATATTTCTTTTCTTACTTTCAGAGTTTATCTAGAATTCTTAGGTATACTAATAAGAATGAGACTTATTAACGTGAGCTGAATCAGCCATGCTGCCAAGAACTAGACCTCTGAAATCTTATGCTTCCATACCATATGAGCTAACCATAGTCTCTGAGCCTCCAGTTTACTGAATCCTTCCAACCTGAGATATTATAATGCTGTGTGAAGATGGAGAAAGGCACTTTAGGAGAAGAAACCAAATTCCTTTAGAAGCACAGGTAAGAAAGCACATCATATTTTTGAGAAAGATAATTAGACCTGTATCCCATGTGCCTACATATGATTCATTTGTACTATAGGAGAAACTGATCATTAGTGGATGAATTAAGTATACATGGAATTTATTACTGCATAGAGGTCTCTTTAGGAAAACTAGTGAATTACTGAGGATAGCCTGAACTACAGTAAGAACTAGATCACAAAATGTATAATTGTTTAAATAGAATACAAGCTCATTTCCATACTATGTAACAGGCCCAGTGGGTACTTCTAGTTGTAGGTGGCTCTCCTGGCATGGAGAAAAAATACAGTCATTCCACCCTGTGACTCCATCATCCCATTCACCCTCTTTTCCTTTGCATTCAGCAGGCAAAGGGGGAAGAAAGTATGCAAGAAACCTACAACTATAACACACCAATGGATTGGCTAGACCTAAGTCATATGACCACATCCCAATAGAAGGAGGTTGGAATGCAACCTAGCTGAGTGTTCAAGAAGAAGGAAATAATCTGGATTTGGCTGAGCAGCTAGTACTCTCTGCCACAATTCCTATGGTCTCAGAGTGCAAGAATGGATTAAAGAGAAAGGAATCTGTAGTCAAGCAGTTAAGGGAGCATAACAATATTTCAGGTAGAAAATGATGATGGTCTAAGCCAAAACACTGAGACCATAATAGAAAGGTTATGTTATATAAGAATTATTTTAAATGGAGAATCAACAAAATCAGATGTAGTTGTGGAGATGAGGGGAAAAGTGGGCTAACGTGTCTATAAGCACCCTATATGTCAAGAGTCCATCAAGTAAACCTGGATTCAACTCAAGAAATACTGAGGTTTATAAACTTCTTAGTATGAATAATGAAAAATAATCTCTTAGTATAAACAATAAAAAATAAACCACAATAATTTCTTCAGAGGAGATAAAAATGAATAAGATGAGGTTTTCTTCCTCAAAACAAGGCTTGAAGTCTACTAAGGTTGGATGTGCAGACTATGGGGTTTGGGCAGATATGTTGGCAGGGTGACTAAACATGGAAATATGGGAAAGGCAGATCAAGTCTACAAACAGAGGCCTGAGAGTCATTGGCAAAGTGGTAGTTGAAGCCACTGTGGACTTGGAGGAGCCACCAAAAGAGATAATGAAAAAAAGGAGGAGAAGACCAAGAAGAAAAATGTGAATACATACGGTTAAGGGTTTGGAAAAGAAATAAAACCTACCAAGTGAGATGACAAGAGTCTACTTTGAAAATGGGACGTATGGGAGGGTGGGGAATCCAATGTGCTGATTTTGCTCCTTGTGATTTATATTTGGGCAGTATCAGTGCAGACACCTGTCACCTCCTGTGCTCTGGCTCAGTCTGAGTTTGGTGAGTAGATCCATTCCTAATTATCCAGGATACTCCTTCAACTGACACAGCCAGTGAACTAGAGTATGTTGTCTTGGATTCCAAATGCTATCCTGTCTTTATTGTGTGTAATAAAATTCACATGTGATTCTGGCTTCTTCAGTAAATTGTAAAGACCTTGAAAGTAGAGATTATGCCTCAATGCACCTTCTCTTCACAGTGCCTGGGACAGATTTTGTATTTAACAATTAAGTGTTCAACAAATGATTTGGTGAACTGCATTTTTCTCAGATTTGTGATTTTACATGTCTAGAAAACAGGATATTGAAAGTTGATTATTTTATGAATGATTCAACATAGCTACTGAGGCGGTAGTGCTGGGTTGGGGAGGATGGACACCTCTGATTCACAGATGGATTAGATCTTAGGTTGGAGTATCAAAGGATGACAGATAATCAGTCCCACTTACCAACAGGAACTTCCCCACCCCCCCAAAAAAATTGGCTACCTTTGGATTTCATAAACCAAGGTAGAAAGTTAGCTGATCTTTGAATGAAAGAGATGGATTAGGATGGTCATACAGTAACTTCATTCATAATCTGGACTCTTCTGCCTTTCCTATTCAAGGAGCCATGAGGGAAGAAAACCAGTCCTCCACCCAGGGTTTCATTCTCCTGGGATTCACCAGTCAACAGAAGCAGGAAGATGTCTTCTTCATTCTCTTCCTGTTTATTTACCCCATCACACTGATTGGAAACCTGCTCATTATCTTGGCCATTCACTCTGACGTTTGCCTTCACAACCCCATGTACTTTTTCCTTGCCAATCTCTCCTTTGTTGACATCCTCTTCTCATCTGTAACCATCCCAAAGATGCTGGCAAACCACATCTTGGGCACCAAAGCCATCTCCTTTGGAGGATGTCTAGCACAGATGGATCTCATGCTTGCATTGGGTAACACAGATAGCTACATCTTGGCTGTGATGGCATATGACCGTGCTGTGGCCATCAGCCGCCCTCTTCATTACACAACAATTATCAGCCTGAGGTGTTGTGTCCTGCTTGTTGTAGGATCTTGGGTGATTGGAAATGCCAATTCCCTCCCCCACACTTTGCTTACAGCTAGTTTGTCCTTCTGTGGCAATCATGAAGTAGCCAACTTTTACTGTGACATTACCCCTTTGCTCAAGTTGTCCTGTTCTGATATACAATTTAATGTAAAAATGATGTACCTAGGGGTTGTTGTTTTCTCTGTGCCATTAATATGCATAACAATCTCCTATGTTCGGGTCTTTGCCACCGTCCTACGGGTGCCATCCACCAAGGGCATGCTCAAAGCCTTCTCTACCTGTGGCTCCCACCTCACAGTTGTTTCTTTGTATTATGGGACAGTGATGGGCATGTACTTCCGACCTCTGAACAGTTACAACCTAAAGGATGCAGTGATAACTGTGATGTATACAGCAGTGACCCCAGCCTTAAATCCTTTCATCTACAGTCTGAGAAACCGAGACATGAAGGCTGCCTTGGGGAAACTCTTCAGTCAGAGAATTTCTTCATGACCACATGAGGTCATACACTAAGGATTCACTTGAGAGTCCAGCCCCAATGTCAGCACCCTCCAAGAGCCATCATTGATCCTTCCAGCCAGGAATTCCTCTACTCAGAAATCTTATAATACTTTGATGAGGCATCTTACTGATACTTTGTACACACTATTGCCCCCTTTGGCAAAGAGGTACTCCAAAAACATTAACTTCATGTCTTAGTTATGATGATACTAACTAGTAGTGTAAAGTTAAGAAAGTGTGAACTTAGGCATCCACATCTAATATTAGGAATAATAATGTGTGTCCTGCTTCCAAAATAAGGTTGAGAAGATCACGTAAATTCATGCTTTGAAAAATATAAATCACTATTGAAATGTCAATTCTCATTGCACTATTAGATTTAATCATTCCTACTATGGTTATCTAGAGTCACCAAAGTTGCCAGTACCTAACTGGCCAGAGCCAAAAGCAACTTCATAGGGTTGGTTTCATCTGGTAATTGTGTGCACTTGTGTTGAAAGAAGAAGTCCAAGTTTCATTGGAAGAATTGGTGGGAAACAAGACTCCAGGAACTGACAGAATATGCATTGAAATGTTTCAACAGATGACACAGCGCTGGAAGTGTACACTCATTTATATCAAGAAATTTGGAAAATAGCTACCTGGCCAACCAACTAGAAGAGATCCATATTTGTGCCCATTCCAAAGAAAGATTATTCAACAGAATACAAAAATTTCGAACCATCATTAATATCAAACAAAAGCAAAATTTTGCTGAAAATAATTTTAAAATGGTTGCAGCAGTATATTGACAAGGAACTGCCAGAAATCCAAGTTGGACACAGAACAGGACATGGAACAAAGGATATCACTGCTGATGTCAGATGAACCTTGACTGAAAGCAAAGAATACCAGATAGATGTTTACCTGTGTGTTGACTGTGCAAAGGCATTTGAATGTGTGTGCCATAACAAATTATGAATGACATTGCAAAGGATGGGAATGGCAGAACACTTAATTGTGCTTGTAAGAAACCTATATATAGATTAAGAGCTTATCGTTTGAATAGAAGAAGGGGATACTGCATGATTTAAAACCAGAAAAGGCGTGCATTAGCGTTGTATCCTTCCACCGTACTTATTCAATCTGTATGCTGAGCAAATAATCAGAGAAGCTGGACTATGTGAAGAAGAATGCAGCATCTGGATTGGAACAAGACTCATTAACAACTTGAAACATGCAAATGACACAATGCTTCTTGCTTGTATAAAACTGGAAGCACTTAGTGATGAAGATCAAAGACTACAGTCTTTCACATGGATTACACCTCAAAATAAAGAAAACAAAAATCCTCATAACTGGACCAATAAGCAGCATCACAATAAATGGAGAAAAGATTGAAGTTGTCAGAGATTTCATTTTACTTGGATCCATAGTCAATGCCCATGGAAATAGCAGTCAAGAAATCAGAAGATATATTGCACTGGGCAAATCTGCTGCAAAAGACCTCTTGGAAGTGTTAAAGAGGAAAAATATCACTGTGAAGACTAAGATGCGCCTGACTCAAGCCATGGTATTTCCAATAGCCTTATACGCAAGTGAAAGTTGGACAATGAATAAAGAAGACAGAAGAAGAATTGATGCATTTGAATTATGGTGTTGGTAAAGATTACTGAAAATTCCATGGACTGCCAGAAGAACAAACAAATCTGTCTTGGAAGAAGTACAACCAGAATGCTTCTTAGAAGCAAGAATGGCCAGACTTCCTCACATATGTTTTGGTCATGTTGTCAGAAAGGATCAGTCCCTGGAGAATCATATCATGGCTGGTATAGCAGAGGGTCAGGGAAAGAGGGGATGACTCTCCATGAGATGGACTGACACAGTGACTGTGACCATGGGCTTAAGCATAACAATGATGTTGAGCATGGCACTGAACCGGCAATGTTTCTTTCTGTTGTACAAAGGATCACTATGAGTTGGAGCCAATTGCATAGCACCTAACAACAATAACAAGTATGTTTATAGGGAGCCTTGGTGGTGCAGTGATTAAAGTCCTCAGCTACTAACTAAAATGTCAGCAGTTCAAACCCACCAGGTGCTCTTCAGGAGAAAGATGTAGTGGTCTGCTTCTGTAAAGATTTATAAGCTTGCAAACCCTGTGGGACAGTTCTACCCTGTCCTACAGGGTCAATGTGAGTCAGAATCAACTTGGCCGTGGGTGTGGGTTACTATACTTCTACAGCAGTGGAGTTCAACTCCCCTTGTCCAACTTTAAGGTACACAGAGGAATAATGTGAGATTGTTACAGCAGTTTATGGTATGAAGTTTTCCTAAGAATCTACATTTCTTCCCCTCTTCTTTCATATCCTGCTTTGGCACTAATTATTTCACTATGTGACATTATATGAATCATAAGAATCTATCTTTACCTTCAAAAGTTGGAATTAGAAATACCATTTGACCCAGCCATTCCATTACTAGGTATATACCCTAAAAAAGTGAGAGCCATGACAAGAACAGATATATGCACACCCATGTTCATTGCAGCACTATTTACAATAGCCAAAAGATGGAA